TCTGTCCACGAAATCACCGTTGAAGACATATGGCGTCTCCGCTGAGGGAAAACCATTCTAGTATAGAACAAAAATCAGTTACTGGCACATTCAAATTCAGTGAACTGTGGATAACAGAATTTTACTGACTTTGTAAAAGATCAAGAGCAGATCCTCAAGATGGCCGTGTAAGTCTCCTGCATGAGTAGCAAAGAATTAAACTGCACTTTAATGGCACGTCACACCATAAGACAGCTTGAGAATGAGGAGTGAATGTGTTACTCACCACAGATGGTGATCTCTTTGTGTTTGCAGGTGCACACGTGACTGATGTTGGGCATCAAGCGCAGGAGCGTCCACGTCTTACCCAGCAGCTGCAGCACGTACCGCGCATGAAGCTTCTGCAGAGAGAGATCTGCACTTAAACATACGCAATCCTAAAGCTTTCATTGACAGATGAGAGAGATGGATTTATTCACTGATTTTGTAATGTACATAAAGCTATTTTGCTGCTTTGATAGAAATGATCATACTTGTTTGTTTTTGAAGGCGTGCACCAGCTCTGTGACGTTGGAGATGGTCAGTGGGAAGGAGAGATGCGGGCCGGTGTAGATGTCCAGGACCTCAATCTCCTTGTAACAGACGTGTCTCTCCCACTCCATGTCCTGAAACACGTCACTCTCGCCAAACATATGCGATACGAGATTCCCTGAGGGAGACAGATGCAGAGAGGGCCAGTGTGAATCTGTTTAGTTACACTGATCACTTCATGAGATGAAACACAGTTGAAGAACTTGAGAGTTTCTTACTTTGGCTGTTGGCAGAACTGAAATGATCCATCAGGTAACCGAAGAAATTATACAGCTGCAGTGGCACAAACAGCATGAGCATGTTTTATGTGTAAAGATCAAAAAGAGGCAGGAAACCAATATTAACCAGACTGCAATAACAAGCCTCAGATGTCAAGTCTCTGTGACTGTAAGTCTGTGCTTCATTACTGCTGGAGAGACATCAGTGTTGTTTCACCTTGATATGATCCTGTTGTCCAGAATACTCTATAGACTGAAAGATGTTCCAGGTGCAGCGGCGTCTCATCTCCAGCCGCGCCACATACTGACGATACCAGCGCTGGATGAGCAGCGCCGCCCGCATCGCTAGACAGAGAGTCAGAGAGACGAGAGGCAGACAGACAGACAGAGAGACGAGAGGCAGACAGACAGACAGAGAGACAGGCGACAGTCAGACAGACCGAGAGGCAGACAGACAGACAGACAGAGAGACGAGAGGCAGACAGACAGACAGACAGAGAGACGACAGTCAGACAGACAGAGAGACGAGAGTCAGACAGACAGACAGACAGACAGACAGACAGACAGAGAGACGAGAGGCAGACAGACAGACGAGAGAAAGTCAGGCCAGCAGGAGACATGAGTGACAGTGAAGTTTCTTTAGACTCACAGAAACATGTGATCTGTCTGACCTGTAGCCGCTGCATGTGAGAGAAACAGAGAAAAACAGTGTTAGATGTTCATTCGCACCCACTGACAACAATGAGACATTTACTGAAATAAATGAGGAGGAATTACCTGGAACTGAGATGTTCCCTATAGACAGACACGATCGATAGAGACACAGACATAGAGCAATGTGAGCTGTATTTCTCTCAGGAGAGTCATTTAATGGCAGATATTCTGTTCGAAGCACTGAATCTTTGAACAGTGTCAAACTTTAATCATCTTGTTGGTTCACGCACCTCGATTGCATGGTTTCAGCTGCAGTTGGGTTGATTTCGTGACTCCGCATCCCATGTCACGTCTGTCAGCTGGAAGTACATGTATCAAATCAGACATTTTTCACACCTATAAACTCATTCCTGTTTCTGATTCTGGTAAATGTGTCACAACACTTGTAATCTGAATTTCACTTTCAAATCATTTAAAATAATTCCCTTCACATCAATGAAAATCTGAAATAATCTGTCCATCCTCTTATTTCCCCAAGGGGTTTGATTAATTAGTAATAAAAAATAGAATTCTCATTCTCTAACCTGCTGTACAGAGTAATTTAACTCTAATTCTACACCTCCAGCCACAGCGTTTTACAAAACAGCAACAGAACATCACACTCACCTGGTGAGGGTTTGTCAAAATTCCTCCATGACAGCAGAGCCTATGAAGCCACCAGCAGCACAATCACTGTCATGAAGTGTGACAAACTTCACTATCAATGAACCTGGAACACTGGCGCAGAGAGACAGATGGTGAGATGGAGCTCATCTGCGTGACCACTTCATCAAAACAACACGCTGCAGCTGGATTAGGGTTAATACTGCGGCTCGGCTTCAACCCAGAATAGACAGATAAAGAGGTGCTAAAGGCCACCGGGGCTCCGTGTGTTTAAGCCCGTCGCTCTGCTGTTCATAGCTGAAATCTGATTAACAGAACGCTGAACCCAGCCACAGCACTTAATGGATTTGAAAATGAAACTTGAATTTATTTTTAAATGTTTAATTGGAAAACAGACCAGTTCTCCCCATTCATCGCTGGTGTATTTAAAAGGCTTTAGAATAAAAACAACTGAATTCTACCAGATTTGATCTTTTCAGAGTTAGCTATTCAAATCATAAGTGTATAAATGTACTGTGATAGGATTGAAATAATGCGGCACACTATAAGCACATATTCAGAATTGGGTCAAAAGTGTATTGGTTTTGACCAATATGTGAATATGGTTAGGGTTACACCAGAAAACACCATTTCTTGACAGTTCGGCAGTGAATGAAACAACATTATAAGTTGTCCTCAAATGGCAAATAAACTGTTGTTTCTTTCTTTAGATTGCCGTTCACACGCAGGTGTTGGACTTCCTCTTGATGCAAAGGAGTTGCAGCTTGAATGGCCTCAAGGACTAACACGGCCAGCGCTCTTTGATTCGGTTAATCTGAGGTCAGAAGAGAAACTACAGATACTACAACAATGCCCAGCTTTGTATTTCTCATGAGAAATGATGGAAAATTAAAACCTTCGCATCTCTTCTATATGAACTCAAAGACAGCGAGGAAACATTAATGCAAAGACAAAATGTTGAAAGTATATGGCCAGACAGAGAGACAGACAGACAGCTTCAGCCCGACTCTATTTAATATCTATATTAATGAATTGGCATTGGCATGTGATAAGTCCTCTTGTCCTGGTCTGATCCTCGAGGGCAGAGAAATCAAATGCCTCCTGTTTTAGGAGTATCATAGTATCATAGTAGGATTTAGACCGTATCGTAGTACTGAGACTGCTCTCATTAGAGTTACAAATGACCTGCTCTTATCATCTGATCGTGGTTGTTTCTCTCTATTAGTGCTATTGGATCTTAGCGCTGCGTTCGACACTATTGACCACAACATTCTTTTGAATAGACTAGAAAACTATGTTGGCATTAATGGAAGTGCATTAGCATGGTTCAAATCGTACTTATCTGACTGCCATCAATTCGTAGCAGTGAATGAAGAGGTACCATATCGATCACAAGTGCAGTATGGAGTACCTCAAGGCTCAGTACTAGGGCCGTTACTCTTCACGCTTTACATGTTACCCTTGGGAGATATCATCAGGAAACACGGTGTTAGCTTTCACTGTTGTGCTGATGATACTCAGCTCTATATTTCTTCG